AATGAATACAAAAAAAAAAAAGGATGGTGACTGTATCTTTGTTTTTAAGTGTCAAATGCTTTAGCCTGTTTCAAAACTATATTTGAAGTCTTAATTTTCAACTTTTCTATAAACTTTTTATTTCTTTAACTCCTCGTCTTCCCTCAGTAGTTTTACATTCAAAATGATTCTTTCTTATAACTTGCCTCCTTTTTTTTTGTCTGAAATAAAAGATTAAATATTTCAAAGGTGAAAGATCTTTGTTTTAACTGAAAAAGCATTGGTTAAAACTGATCATTAGTCAATTAAACTACAGCTATATATTTTTGTCTTTCTAACTCAACACTTGAAATTTAGCAGCTGCAAAAGTAATGCAGATAGGGAAATGCTTGTGGAACATTGCAGCCGTATATTACCGATGAGGGAAAAAAAAAAAAACGACTTAGCGTTACTATATGAACGTTGAAAAAATATGTTCTGTCATCAAGAAACAAAGTATTCAAACGAATTTTTTTCATATTTCAAATATAGAATCTGATAAAAGAAAAGAAAGATTACAGGAGACATCTGAAACTGATACAGGCAAAATGTTGTCAAGTAAAAGCAACAAATTGAACTGTATGAAAGGTATAAAATGGAACAAGGCAGAATGAATTTGAATAGTTAAATGCACAATTCTTTTTGCTCTTCATCTGTTTTGTCGCGTAACATATGGAAAAATTTACCCATAAATAATAAAAACAAACGATAAAAAAAAAACAATTATATTTACATTTTTTGATATAAAATTTTTAAACTACACTTAAAAACTTACTGGAAATAAACAACAGCAAAAAATCAACATATGTCGATGCTTTATCACTGAGTAATCAGTAAAACTGATCATATCTTTTTCTTATAATGAATGAAGAAAAAGTTTAATTTTTGGCTTCTTCAAAACTAAAACAGAAACGTAAACAAAAACGAAAAAAGAAAAAAAAAAACGAGAAAGAAGAGAAAAAAAGGTGTACAAAATTTTGATCTGCAAAAAATTGAAGGTAATGAAATCGAAAGTAATAAAAAGAAAAGAGAAAATAATATTTGTTAGATAACTACAAGGCGTAGCTTTTTTGTTGAAACCTATAATCTTCCACAGAAACATCGGACGTACAAGAGCTGTCAGGTGATGGATCTTCAGATTTTATCACCGGGAATCCTGCATTATATGTTGAACTACAGTACGGAGTAGATGTGTATGGCAAATAATACTGCTGTTCGTAAACAGGTCCCGGTTGATACGAGGAACAATCAGTGGGCAAAGAAGTTGGTAGGTAGTAGTTTTCTTGAGAGGTACTTGGAGTCTGATAGTTGCTGGGTACTTCCGGTTCCGATTGCATAGGCTCAAACGGTTTATCGCATGACATTCGCAAAAGATCCTGCAGATGGCGAATATATCGAGCAGCTTCACGAAGCGTCTCAACTTTGCTAAGCTTTTTGCTGGAAGAAGATTGAGGCACGCGATCGCGTAGGTTAATGAAGCCTAAGTTAACCTAAAATAATAGGTTTGATTAGTGTCTGATTACCAGACAATAAACAGTTGTTTGTAATAATGATGATTTTTTGTCAATTACTCAAAGTGCTTTTAGAGTGTTTCAGTTAGCTTAAAAGTAAACAACTATTTTAACCTGTCCTTAGTTATATTTTATAAATTTGTTTGCATTTGCAAATTGTTCTTCTTTCATGCTCAGTTTTTAAGTTAACTTTTGCTTGTTTTTTTTTTTCAAACCTAATACGGTTACAATTTTTGAAAAAAAAAGTTAATAAATTTAAAAATATTCAATTCTATTATAAAAAAAATTAAGAGTAACTAAAGTGCTAGCTAAAATACCTGTTGGACACGTTTACGTTCACGTTCATTACGTCGTAATACTTGATGTGGCAGTTTTGTGGCAACACCACCACTTTTAGTCTTTCGAAGACGTTCCGTACCACCGGTGGTAGCAGTAGCAGTTCTACAACCACCACCCGACGCAACAATTTTATTAGACATTGCTAAAATATTTGCATTTAAGTATAGCAGAAATAAATAACAGTTAAGGAGACCACTAATGACGATGAAATCACTTAAACAAGGATTCAAATTTATTGTAAACGTTGCTAAGAAAGCAGATAAATCTTTCAGAAAAAAAACATCAATGCACAGCACCCGAAAGAATCGGTAACACTGAATGACGGTGGTAGAAAAAAAAGTGGGTGTTATTTATTGAGTTTAGCCAAAAAGCCCGAAGATCGGCAGCCAAATGTAGAGGATAGATGGGATAGATGGATGGATGTATAAGGCGCACAGATAAATAGGCATAGGCACAAACACGCACTTTGATGCCGAGTTAGTTGTTCTGTTGGCCACGCCTTTGGCACCCGATCTAAGGCGGGACTTGTTTCAGCGGACAGGCTACAAGTCTTTCTTTGGTATGCAAATAACCTCTGTCATATCAATGAACTTTTGCTACTTATTCCTTGTTTTCTCCTCTTTTTTTTGTCTCTTTATCTACAGTTTACCGACAACAGTGACAAGGAGAAAAACATCGTATATCTGTGCTTGTTTTTCGCACTGATTTTATCACTGAACAACATTCACAAGAAAAAAGAATGGACAGTATATTCGGAAAACAGAAAAGCAGACAAAAGTTAGTTGCTTTTTGTTGCTATTATTGTTGTTCTTATCACTGTTATTAACATTATTCAAGTGCTATCAATTGAAAAGTTGATTTATGGTTGAGAAGCAACTAATAACAAAGGCATTCATTTTATTCTCGGATTACTGTACAAAGAGGAAATCTAATAGTTTAATTAGAGGAGAGGAAAAGAGGAAAAAACAAAAATAGATGTCGGAATGAAACTTGAAATGGAAAATAAATAAGGTTTTTAAATTTTGTAACTTACTTTTTACCTGATTAATGAAGAAGTTGTTTAGCAGTAAACAGTCACTCTGTATGAAGTTTCTTCCAAATTCATTCACTTAATGGTATCATCCTAAACAATAACCAGCAGAACAATTGCAGTTAATCAAATCTTTACATCATTTTTCTCCTTAAATTTGTATCTATCACTTTGTTTTGATATTACTTTAAGTTGTCCTTTTAAGACTAATCTGTTTTTCTTTAAGGTATTGAAATAATTGTCTCTTTTGTAAAGTCTGCTCTATAGGCTCAATCATGAATAAAAATGAAAGCAATACAGCGTGATGATAGTTCTGACTTGATTCTCTTAAAAAAAAAAAAAAAAGGAAAAGAACAGAGCCTCTGTTACTAAAAATGTTGTTAAAATTTTTGCCATCACGGTAACATTTACGTTTTTTAGCTGTAACATTTTATATCATATTTTATCTGAAATTTAACTGTTTACAATCTAAGTGTTTGCAGTTTAAAACCATTCTTATATTTCAAAATAGGGTGAAACAAAATTGAGCATAATTTTATTAATGATGAATAAATGAAAAAAATAAAAATATTCAAAATAAATGATGTAAAATATAGTTTATTGAGTGAATAATTTGATGACGTATTGTTTCACAAAATTTCAAACATAAAATTAACTGCATCGGATGTACAAAAGTTGTAAGATGAAGTATTTTCAAATTTTATTACTTCGGAATTCCATATTATATGTTTAATTGCGGTCTAAAGTAGACAGAAAGGTTATTTAATTAACTCCATATTATTTAATTATGCGTGTGTATGAATATTTACTCATGCAACATATTTTTGGGTATGTGTGTGTGTGTGTGTGTGTGTGTAAGTGTGTGAACTTGCATATCTGTATGTGTTTACGTAAGTAGAGGCTTGATATTTGTGTGTCTGTATAATGTATGTGAATAATTGAAGAGAGGTCGTTAAACGCAAAATTTGTTTCAAATATAATGCGATCAAACAGATGTGACTTTTGCTGCTGCCATTTTATATTCCACTCTTTTTTCCCGGTAAGAAAAAATCATAGATTTTTGCGGAACAGCCGATGGTTTCCAATGAATTTTTGACTGGTGTACAACACAAAAAAAAACCGCAATAAGCAAGCCAAATAAAGTAACAGGAACAGACGACAGAAAAAAAAAAA